GGGGAGGCTTGGAAACGCCCTTCATGTCGCTGTTCTCCCAGAACCTGATTACACTTAATTGCATTCTCTGCTCCTGCCTTCTGCCAGGTTTCTATCCAGAAAGGCAGGCGAAAACCTGTCTTTATTTGCCTTCCCCAGGGCCTTACCCCTCTCTCATCATTTTTCCACTGCCTGAGCGATCTTTCTCTCCACTGCCTGGACTGGTCACCCACTCCCTCACGGCCTTCAGGACAAAGCTTTCATGTCCTGGCCTGTGAGCCGACACTGTCAATCTGAATCCCGACTATTCCCACACCTTAAATTGCTTTTGGGTTTCTCCAAACTCCTCACTCCTCTTGCCTCTCCTGGTGCTCACGTCCCTTCCCCAAGAGTCTCAGTTAGATATACCGATGCCCTCTTTTTGGGGATGCCTGCTCTGGTCTCACGTCACAGGAAGTGCCCCCTCAAGGACCCCATGCCACCCTGTGCTTTCCCACTCCTTGTCCCCTGTGCTTGGCCACCTGTCCCTCTCCTAGCTAGGGCAGGGCCATGCCTTTTGCACTCAATCAATAACTGCCGAGTGAATGAATACAGCTAAGGAAATTCAGACAGTAAGGATGTTGTGTTTGTGCTATAAAGTGAACACAACTTGCTAAACACTGGTACCGCTGACAGGAGAGTGCGGGGATGTTGCACGTCTCCATGGCGATGTTAATTCTCATGATGTGTCCAGCGAGTGGGGTTTAGTTCTGCCTCCAGACACCTGGAGCAGAGTGCCAGGGCTTGACAGCTCTGACTCTGTCCCTCCTCCTGAGGTCCGCAGGCCTTAGCTTGCCACTGAATGACTTCTGTTTTTTCTAATTTGCCTCTAATGCTTTTCTAAGAATTCAGGGGGAGACGCTTGTCCTCTGAGATGACTCCACAGAGAACTCTCAGGGGCTCTCAGGCACAGCAAAGCAGGGTCAATTAGTGTTATATTTTTCAATTAAGTAAAATTTCCCCCTCACATTGTAACATGTTGTACATTTTTGTACAATATTTTATTTCTCCCTTCATCTGTAGTCCCCATAATTCTCCTACCCCTGAGGCATCTGTGACCATTCACCATATGATCTGGCAATTCACTCCTGGGTATATATATATACCCAAAGGTCACAGATACACTAATTTGAAGGGAAACCTGCACTTTTATTTGCAGCACTATTTTGTTTATTGCATTGCTATTTACAATAGCTATGGAAACAATATAAATGTCCCAAAACAGACAAATGGATCAAAAACATGTGGCATATATACACAACAGAATATTACCCAGCAATCAAAAAGGGAAACTTATGTCAAGAACTGAAAGGGATTATACTAAGTGAAATAAGTTAGAAGGAGAAAGAAAAACATTGGATGGTCTCATTTACAGGGGGAGTATAGGGAAACCGAACAAGGATTAGGAAAAAGACAAAACTTGCAGGCAATCATAGATAGTAGGCCTACAGCAGGAGTGAGGGGAGGGAGAAGGGTCAAAACGGCAGGGAAGAGCATACATATTTTTTTTTTTAAAGATTTATTTATTTGTGCATACAGAACTGGGGTACAGGCCAGAGGCTCAGGGGCGGTGAGAGGCTTCACCAGAGTGGGGAACAGAACAGGCAGATGGATGAAGTACACTGCTGAGGGGAGCAGCGGGCGGGTCAGGAGAGGTCTGCCACACCATGTGGTCACCTCCGGGACAGGCGGGAATCGAGCTCATGCGGAAGCGGCTTTAGATTCTCAGTGCTGTGCTTTAACCCGCTGCGCCACCAGGGAGGGCCACATATTATATTTTAAACTTCAGATTCTTGAGCAACAACTTCAGCAGATGAAAGCAACTTATCAGCTAAACCAAGAGAAGTTAGAGTACAACTTCCAGGTGCTGAAGAAGAGAGATGAGGAAAGCACAGTGATTAAATCCCAGCAGAAGAGGAAGCTCAATCGGTAAGTGAGCAGACATCTTCCTCTGGCCCTTCTATGCTAAAATGGGAGTTATTTAGATTTACTTGTTTCCCTGGCTCTGTATTTCCTATAAATTGTAACTACGGATTTATGGATTCAGTTTACACATTGTTGGCCAGAAAACGTCATAGATGAGGCTTTATATTACATCGTACTAGAATACACATTATATTATCTAGTTGATCTGTTGTTAGAAACATTTGGATTAGCCATGGAGTGACTCATACACTTGTCACTTTGGTAGTTATTGTCAAGTTGCTGTCCTTAAGGGTTGCATTGATCTAAGCAACAGCAACGTAGGAAAATACCTAATTCCCTACAGCCATGGATTTGTGTCTTTATAAGTGAGAAATGGTGTCTACTGTATTTTTGTTTTGTGTTTCTCTTGTGTAAGAAATCAAGCATAGTCTTATATGTGTGTGAAACATTTGTATTTTCTCGTATAGGAATTGTATTTTACATATGAATATATATATATATTTTTAAAGTGGGATCATTGGTCTTTTTCTCATCATTTTTTAGGTACTCCTTATATGTTAGAAAATATTAGCCCCCTCCCCCCTTTTATAGGAATAGCAACTATCTTAAACTGGTTTTCTGTTTGAGCTTGCTTGTGAACTTTTGCAAATATTTTAAATTCACATGCTGTTGAATTTGTCACTGTTCTCCTTTATGGCTTCTGGGTCTTAACTCACTTTACAAAGGATTTATAACATGTTTTCCAGAAATACATTTATAGTTTTATTTTTGAGCACTTAAACTTTTCATCGATTTGAAATTTATGTGAGTGTACACAGATAGTTCACGATGTAACTCTTAACTCTTTAATTTTCTTCAGATGGCTAATGATTACCCCAGTATCACTCCTTACTGATAAGAGATGACAACCTTATTACTTAATTTTTCTCTATATTTAGTTTTTTTTTTTTTTCTGTTCCATTTGTCATTTCAAGGGCCAATACCACACTGTTTTAATGATTTGGTCGCTATAATATGTTTTAATATCCTACAGGATTACTTGTCCCATATTACTTTCTAAAAATACAACCAACTTTGCTTCTTTATGCCAGTGATATACCTTGAACTGTATGTACACTCAGATAAAGTTCAAATACACCAAAAATTTAAGAGTAAAACAATGAAACTGTAAAACTATCACTGTCATTTCCAGTGTACAGTTTCTGAAACCAGCCTGGCCTCCCTGCCCAGGTTTCTACTCCTGCACCCTCTCCTCTTCACCTCTCACTCCTCTCAGGACTTCTTGCTCAGTTTCCCTCTGTGGCCCAGGCCTGAAGCACACCCCTGGGATTTATTTTTGACTTAATAATGCCTATGGTTAGATGTTCCTAGAATGTTGTAGTTATGAAAGTGGATTGGATGTTCCCTTTTTATTAGAGACTAAATTGAATACTTTCTGCATGTTATTGGGGATGAAAATATGAATGATGAACATGTTTTGGGGTCCTTTTGACTTTCAGGGTAATGCTAAAGAGGGATTTTTTGTTGCTGTTGTTTTCAGAATTTTTAAACTTAAAATACATTGACCTTCAACCTTTCTATTTATATGTAAATAGGATCCTGACATAAGATCAGTAGTTAAAAGTCTGAGGGATGGTCCAGGTGTAAAACTCTGTGCCTGCCAATTTATTTCATAGACGTTTCCAAGCACAGAGCCCCCCTTGGCAGTGAAACAGGGGTGTGGCAGTGAAACAGGGGTGTGGCAGTGAAGCAGGGGTGTGGCAGTGAAGCAGGGGTGTGGCAGTGAAACAGGGGTG